TTGGTCTTAAATTGTTTGCCAATTGAAATACCTTTGTAAAATAGAAAAAAAAAATATTTGACTAGAAATACTATTGTTTGCTGATGAAACTGATCCATAACCGTATGAAAATCACTCACCTGCAGGTGTGTTTGAAGCAGGCAGGACAACGATACTTCGCTTCATCTGATCCACAGACTCCACATCTAAACCAGATACAACAGATTATAGATCAATCATAAAACTGCGTAATTTTTTAAATATAAATTTAAACACATTAATTAAAGAAACACAAAGAGACATAAAAAACAAATGTGACAAATTGGCTTAAAATCACTGAGCTATAATGTTTCCATTACCATTTAGAGGAAGAGCATGAATAGTTTTAGACAGGGGCCAACAAGGGCCCCATTGTGGCCCCTATACTGAAGACATGGTAATAAAATCATTCCTATGGATAATATGCAGTGGAAGAGACATAGCAACTACTGGGTCATTTGGACCATTTTGTCTTTATTGCAATTATGGTAATTATGATTTTAAAAAATCAAGGTGATAGTTTTAGTTGTATTGAGACAGGATGTATATTTATTATTCTGATAAATGCTACTTAAAACCAAAATGTAACACTCATATTTGTCGCCTTGCTAGTTTTTATTCTGTCTTTGAATAGATATTTATTTAGCAACTATTAATTTCACTTACTCTTTTCACATTCTAAAGGAATCTTAATTTTAGGTGAAGTAAAATTGATATTTTTTTAACAAAAAACACAAATTTTCAAATGGAACAACATTAAATTTTAGTTTAACTAACTTAAGTGAAAATTTTACTTAACTCATTGCATGCAAACTGTTCAGTAGCTCTGTTAATATATTATTTATAATAAACTATTCCCCTTTTTGTCGCACTGATTTCAGTGGCCCCAAGAAATCATGGGCCCCCTGTAAACCGGGTCTAGAACCGTCACTGATGAAGAGATGGAAGGAGCACTAACTTTTCAGCAAAAGGTCTGTTTATTACATAAATACATAACGAGTTAAGTGAAATATAAGTACACACTCATATTTAATAGTTCGACATTTTATGAACACCGTAAAATAACAAACTGCTCGAATAAAAATCTTCAACGTGGATTAAGGTGCCTGTTAATCGACTTACTTCGAGAGGGAAATCTTTCGTTTTGTCACTTTTTTCTCCTCCTCTGGACAGTAGCTGTCAATTTGGCCATCCATGGCGGATATCTCATTCATTTCCTATAACAGTCCTAAGCGAATAACAGGAAAAAAGTAAGGGATACACGTTTTTTAAGCTGCTGGCGGCATCAAAACAAATCGGTTTCCTTCCGAGCGGCACGTGGAAACAACTTCCGGTTGAGAAGTCCGCTCATTTCTGCCTCCTGGTGTCTGAAGGCGAAACTACAATGATCCCAAGTTTAACCCTTTATAGGGCACCCAGTGCTTTAAAAATCAAAATTTCAAGCCAATAGTGTTATTGGAATCCAGGGCAAGACCTTATTGCCTTTGTAACATTAAAAAAAATATGTATTAATATACATTTTAATATTTCTTCTATAAGAAATTCATGAAAAACATTGAGAGTGAAAGGCATTATTAATGAAACTGCCACTTACATTTTTTAGTTTACAAACCTAAATATAATTGTTAACTAGGCTTATTAACTTTTTAACTTAATTTTTTAATGAGCTTTTTATCTTTTTTTTTAAAACTTGTTAACTTTTTTCAGCTTAATTTACAGTAGGTAAAATATCATTCAAGGGCTCATCTAAGGCTCATCTAATTGGTCAAACGCCAAAATAAGATGTACAGCTATGTAGCAGCATCTTTGCTGGATGGCTGGATATAGATCTTGTGCTTCTACGTAGACCTCACTGAAGGATGGGGGGACTCCATTTAAAAGTGATCAAAAACAGTAACTGCCCTATAAAGGGTTATGTATGAACTGACTGCAAAAGTTGACGTGTTAACGGGGTGTTTGGAAAATATTGAAACGTTTATAGTGGCAATGACTCTTAATGGACTTAATAGCTCAAGTTAAATGAAACAGGACTTAAAAGAAAGACTGGGCTTTAAATGCTACAGAGCACCAATGTTATAAACAAATAAAACAGTGAGGCAGTTTCTCTCTGTCTCTCCATCATATTCAATAAATATCTCACAGCCAGAGTAGGCAGACACTTTGCTGGAGCGATTAAGACAACCTGTCATCCTCTTTATGTATTCCAAAAAACAAAGCAGACACGAACATGCTGCTTTTACTCTATTTGTTTTATTTACCCTTTATTATAGACGTTGACTTTGACAACTTTTATTATCATTTTGTACTCATAGAGTGCATAAAAAACGATATTTTATTTTGTACAGATGTCAGACAGTAAATGAGCAGCAGCTTAGTAGTGAAATGAACATTTCCATTCCATAAAGTGCAGCAGTGGTCAAATGTCAACAGTGTGGGAGAAAAACGTGGTGCAAATGCATTGATGGAATTTCAGAGCATTATATGGTGCAAATATGCAGTATTTTGGTTTGGTGTTATCAGTGTGATGGGGAGTCCGTGACATGATTTAGATTTTTTTCAACAGTTTAGCAGTGTGATGGTGGTCGGGAAGAAGCTGTTTCGAATCTGCTGGACCGGCATCGAATGCTGTGAAGCCGCTTCCTAGAGTGCAGCAGGGAGAACAGGGCCTCTCTGCCCTTTTGACAAGTGAGGTAGTCTTTACAGTCCAGGTGAGGTTGTCTGATGTGTTCTCAAAGTCATGATAATCACAGGCTTTCATACTAGAAAGAGTGTGTAAGTGAAAGCACTGTACGGCACTACACATCCACCCATTAAGTTATTGACTAGTTGATTTTTGTTTGTGTTTGCTGAGAGTTACCACAGGATATTTTTATTTTATCTGGTTGCGCTCAGGTGGATTTCAAGGCAATTGTTAAGTCAGATTTATACTTTTTTGACACTTTTGAGCCATTGTTCATGTAGAGCAAATAAAAAAAATGACACACCTCTGTTAAAATCTTGTGTTTACAGATGATTTCAGAACCTTTTCAATCTTTAATCTTTAATCTGATCCAATGATCTGTTTATCAGTTAAAGTACAAATGGAAAACATACAGCAAAAACGAAAAAAACACAAAAAACCTATATATCAATATAACTTGGCTGTATCAGTGTGCACGCAATCAAACTACTTAAACTTAATGTATCTTTTGATGGCAGTCTTTGATATTGGCTTTGTGCATCTGATCTGTTTCAAAAGTATGTTCTGCAAACAGCATTCTTTAGATCTGGTTTAAATACATTTTATGTTGATTTAGATGCGTGCTTCGGGTCATCCAATCCTCCTCATCTTTAAATCCTATCTTTCTAGTAGCAGCCTGAATTGTTTGTGTTATCATGTGTCAGTATTTGAAAATGTTCATATTTTCATGCATCTTGATTAACACCCCATTTCCTGCTGTGAAATAAAGTCCTGAGATATGTTGGTGCAGCCCACGTTTTACTTTGATGACATGATACTTTGATAAATGTTAGAAATTTCGACCTATAAATTTAAGTTTGTTTTCTTACACATTTTTTTTCTACAGGCAAAGGGTGATCAAAGTTTCACCTGGGCATGGAGGTTTTTCTTCTCAAAAAAAGGCTTCTTTCTATCTCTGCTTAGTCTAAAACAGACTAATGAAGACATGGATTGTTGTATGTAGCCAAAAGGGCTGAAACAATTATTCTGATTAATCATGATTAATCGATTATTGAAATAATTGTCAACTAATTAAGTAATAGATGATCACTAAATGCAGTATAGAGACTCTAAAACATGCCTTTAGCTGACAGAGGAACCCACATAGAGCAGGAAATATACCAAAATTGTAAAGTTTTTCATCTGTCAGTAAGTTCTATCCAGAACTCCTCAAGTGGAAATGTTTTAGTTTCACGTAAAACATCTTTAAGGAATAGCAAATATTACAGGACCTTTTTATGAAACACCTTAATCATTTTTTTTTGTTGTATTTTTAGGTTTTAAATTAAGAAAAAACAGAAAACATTTAATAAATCTTCTTTTGTATAAAATTACTGGTGGAAAATGATATTTAAAAAAAACTTTCCGATCTAATGACAAGAAAGAATAGATGATTATTATTATTTATTGACATTCTGTTGTAAAATTGCAGTTAAACTTTTCTTTAAAAAACTAAGACTGTTATTTTACTTTATTCAAAACCATTGGTTAGTTTTTTTTAATCATCTTTAACCAGTATAAAGAGCCATTGTGAAGGATCCAAAGAGTGACTTGCAGCTCTGGAGCCACAGGTTGCAGGGCCCTGCTCTATTTGGAAATACATTGGAAATTTCTCTGTACCATAGCTTTTCCTATTTAAGGAGTATGGATAAATGTAACCAGGTTATCTAGGGTGGTGTTAATACTAGCCCCTCCCCTTCATTTCTCACCTTAAAAAAAAAATTAATAAATAAAATAATATATATATAGCTTTTTTAATCACAGAAACTGTTTTTTCTATAAGTCTAACTTTTCTTATGTAATGTTTAATTATAAAAGTTCACAATATAACAAAAAATGAGTTGATACTCTGTAAGTACAATAAAGATATGGTTTATATTTGACAGGAATTTGTTTTTTTTAAACAGAGCTAGCAGAAATATGGATACTAGGGAAGAATGGACAGATTGATTGATAGGTGGATTTAAATGTGGACGATAGGATGAGGCACAGATTTATATATGAATGTATAACTAGAACTCCTCATAGTGCATATTTTGCTTAATTAAAATACAAAGCTTCAAAGCCATGTGGGGTGAAACACCAATTTTATTTAGACCTATTTAGGTTTTTGATTTTCCTACAAGACAGAACAAAGTCTGCAAAAAAACACTTCTTTCGATGCCTTTTCAGACGAGGTGCAGAGGATCTGCTATTTATTTTAACAGTCTCTATCAATCATATATATAATATATATGTTTCCAAAAACAGCAGCAAACCATCTGTGTTAAAATGTATCATTTATTTATTTGTCAAGTTTTTATTTACAGTTTTTCCACCCTCCATAAACTTTAGAAAACACTTTCAGCGAAGGTAATATAACTTAAGTATATTGGACTGTTTGACTCTGGCCAAATATAGCTGCCAGTTAGCAACCCAGCTTTGAATGTGACAAACATTTTGACAAACAGTCGAAGGAGTGAACTCTCAAATGTACCGTGTAGACATAAATAACTGAGTTGTGATCGGCCAAACAGTTCATCTGAGAATATAACTTACCATGCTACAACAATATGAATAAAAAAAAAAGATTATAAATAAAAAATAAGTTGACAATATATACACAGGAAATATTGATGACTCGTTGTTTGTTGCAGCACCAATGGTAAGTTCAGGGACCAACCAAAAAGAAAAAAGCTAAACAAAATGTGTTGGGTATCAAAAATTGGTTCATAAATTAAAAAGGACCAAATCAACATAAGTACTCGTATAACACACAAAACAAATCTTGATGTAACCGGTACATACACACAAAGTTAAAGACTATTTGACAGTAGCGACTAGACTAGGAGACAAAGGCAAATAACCGGGTAGAGGTAGAGCACCATTTGCCAAGATGTCGGAGTCCAACTTGGTAAGAACAAAGACAGAAAAAGACAGGGCTGGTAAAATACTGCCACAGGTGGGCCTCTGTATTTAAAAGCAGTCACATAGGATTCACAAACCATTGCACTTTTATACACTGTAGTAAAGACAGTGCCGAGGGAAGAATCCTGGCATGTTCCTTCTGGTCTGAATCCTGCATAAGATGGGGCGGCCTCTGCTTTTTGTTTAAGGTTAGGAATTTGGATAGGCTGCTATGTTGGGAGATGCTTCCCCCTGTTTGGGGACTAACTGTAGTTTACACTGGGATTATAAACATCTGTAAGCACAGTTCTCCTTTGGCCTGGCTAGCATGAAATGTTCCACCAACTATAAGTTATCAGCACCTGGAATTAATTATTCTCACAAAGTCTCAATAACTCTGTTGATTAAAAAAACACCCAGCTCCCTGGAACCAGTCCTTTATTCTAACTGAGGAAGCGTCTCTTTTAAAGGAAGGTGTGTTTGAGCGTCTTTGGACTTGTGTTGTTCATAAGTTGGTTAAAGAACCACGTTGGGGTCAGAGGAAGCAGACAGGCCCAATTTCTATGTGTTGCTGATAGTGAAGCAGTGAAGGAGGAAATTCCTGGATTTCTACAACAGGTAACCGACGACTGTCCTGAGAGTGGAAGAAGAAATGTGACTGGTGCCAGCTGCCATCTTGAATCTGAAACATAAAAACATATATTTAGTTTTTCATCTTGAGGGTTTTTCATGTTTTTGTAGAACTTACAAAGATTAGATATAACTATACATGCACAAAGACACATAGACAAGTGTTCAGGCTGGAAAAATAAACCCTGTCCAAATAATAAAATCACAATAGCATTTGGAAAAATACAACATTTGATGCAACATTTAATTTAACAACATTTTGCTGATAATGAAAAAAAAAGAGCCGGCGTCTGTTAACCTGCTGCCCCACCATTAACATCATGCACAAGCCCCTTTTTCCACATAATCGTCCTTTGTTTCTCACCGTGCACACCTTTACTGGGCAGCCAGACTAATTTATTCTGTGTATACAGTATATTATTCAGAAAAAGAGCAGGCAGAGACCGATTTTAAAGGGAGGACTTATCAGGACCTATCTGTTTAGAACCAATTAGATTAGTACAGATGTCACCAATCTTTTATTAAAAAGAAAAGCCCAAACAGCAGCCAATAAAAACAGCTCTTTCTGGACATTTAAAATGGCTTAATTGAAATATTTATCAGCTTTGTGATTTGTCCGGTAGGTTTTACTGGCCAGGCTAATCAAACAGCTAAATTTAGGTCTTATTTCACGAAATCCTAATGTAAATAAAGTAGCTTGTATTAAATCTACACATGTTTACGTTTGTGATGAAAGAGCCATTCACTTCTATACAAATACCTTCTTGGTATTGAAAACATTACATCTTTTTAAAAAATGTTTACACCATGGTGCCATAAACCATGGAACCAGTTTCTTTATATATATGAAAAACAATTATTTACTGACAGAATCTCTGTACCTACTGGATAAATGTTTAATACTCTAAATGAAATGCTATTGGAATAAAAATTCCAATTATTTACAGTTAAACCAAAGAGTATGGAGGCGCAGCATAAGATGTCTCGACTTTGTATCTTCAAATATAGCAACTTATTTGCTCCACAATAATTTTATTAGCTACCAAAGATCTATATTATAATATAAAGCTATAAAAACTTTATATTCTGTATTAAAATGATAAAAGTTGTACATTGTAATAGTTCTGCCTTGAAGAAAAGACCTACAGTCATATGTGTTTAGTCCTGATATCGGAGGTTCTTCCTATCCAGCTCATTACCTTGCACTCATCCTGAATCAGAGTGGGTTCAAGTAGTGTGTCAGGGTTTATATGTCTATTCCAACCAATAAACCGGGGTTTAGATTCATCTCTTTGCATGGATCCAGTGGAGCTGAATTTGTCTTTGGAGTAGTTGACCGGATCGCTCAAACAGTGAAACGTGATATTTTGGCTTGCTTCAGAACTCAATAAATGAAGAAACTTCATCTGGACTTTCCCGACCCCAAATTCCAGCTATGGGAGAGGAACAGAGAGGATGACAGTGATATCATACGCACAAACATAATGGGAAGACATCTATTTTCTAAACGTCTTTTAAACTTAAAACAATTTGTTGATAAATTTAATAGCAAACATTTTTTATGAATATTTATGTTGATTTTAATGTTGTAAAGTTATGAAATGTAATTTCTATTGATATGTTGACTGATTCAATTCTTCACTCATACCTTATTGGAAGCCACTGGGTGCAAACAAGTCTGTCCACCTCCAGTAAAGTTGCAGAAGACCTTGAAGGCATCGGAAGTACAGCCAAGGTTTGGATCGATCCAGAACCAACCTGAAAGTCCAAAAGAAATATTCAGAAACACAAAGATACAACATTTAAATCCACAATGCATTTTTAACATTGGTCCATCAATTCCATCCATAGTTTTCTGCATAGCTAATATACTGTAAATGAAGGGAAGTCTGTCCAAAAGAAAGGCTCAAATCCAATTTAATCCAAGCGAATCAAAGACATTAAAATATATTTAAGAGCAGCTGCCTTTGTCCAAAGTGCTATGCACAAAAGGAACAAATTACAACATTAAATTAAATGTAAAAAGCCCTTAAGATAAGCCCTCATGCTGTATTTAAAGCCATTCAGCACAAAAGTTTTTTAAGAAGAGCCTTAAAAGTATAGTGGAGGATGTTCTTTTCCTGGGTGGATCATCAAAATAAGTGGTCCTCCTAAATGTCAATCATTCTGGGCATATGTTTACGTAAGGCTGTCCTATGTGCTTTTCCCCATTTTCACTTACCGGTGGTGAGTTTTCATTGTGGAAAAATTGCAAATCTTCTTTTGGGAAGTAAGCTTGTAGGAGCAATGCAAACAACAACTTTTAAACAGAGCGTGCACGAGGAGAAAAAGGCTCCTGCATGCTCTTGCACCCGTTTAATAGTCGCTCCCTCTCCGGAGCGGGTACAGGGTTGTGCATGGGCATTTAAAAAAATTTTTTTAAGTGGAGAGGGCGGGTCTTTTCAAAAATGTGCAAAAGTCCTCCACTATACCTTTAAAAGCACCCAGAGTTGAAGCCTGTTTAATATGAAGGGGCAGCTGGCTCATAGAAAATGATAAACTGTACTTGTAATGCCAGAAAGGACATATAACCCATCTAGGGAACTTCACAACTGCTCTGTGGCTTCCCCACAGAGATTAAAAAAATATCAAAAGGAAGATTGATTGATTAGTGGCTATACAAAAAGCTCCTAACCTCATCTCAAAGACGGAGTCCAGCCACGCTACAGAGAAAGCTAATTTAAGGTACTATCTGGGATCTTGTTCTTTCTGTTCGATCCATAGCTTACAAACACAAGTAAATGTTTGAATTGAGACAAATCTGTCAAGCTTCTTTCCACACCATGATAAATGAAAGCAGCACCCACATCATTTCAAAAATGGCCTCAATCTATCTACCCATCATCTACCGCTTAGTCCAACCATGAAAAATGCACAAGGAGACCAGAACTCTGCTGCTTGAGGCAGAGAGCAAACATTGACCTAAACACACCTCTCCACCTTTTGTTTTGTTTTGTTGAAAAATGCAATCTCTTTAACGTGTGCCGCAAGAAACTCACCATCTTTGAGTTGTAAGTGCCGACAGTCCAGGAGGTCTTTACAGACACGAGCAGGATTTTCCTTTGTGCCAAGAGGCTTCTTGATGCTCTCAATCACGCCACTCAGGTAACGCAGGGTCTTAAGTATCTCCATATTTTGGTGCGGCAAGCTCATTTCAATGTTCTGAAAAGCCTGGTTATGGAGGGGAGGAAAAACAGTCAAACACCAGAATAATAGGATTTAAAGATCTCCATTATTAATGTGTTTTTAAATAACAGCCTCATTCATCTGTAATAAGCACGCTTCAATAAAAAATGCAAGGGGCTGTGGTCAAACTTATTAATAATCAAGTCTTTAAAACAGACTGTTTGAGCTGTATATATGTAACCTTTGATTTCATAATTTAATTGAGAAGAAGAGCACTGCTCTGTGGAAAAAAAACATATTTAAATATGCCAGATTATAGCCTAGGGATAATTTTCATCTGCAGACACACCTGGGAGGTTTCTGTCATACAAAGATTAAAAGGAACACACACAAAAAAAAAAACTTACAAACTGATACTACACAGGTAACGCATACTATATAAAAGACATACAGTATCGAAAACAGATGAACAAAGACAATAAAGAAAATTCTAGAATATAAACAGTTAAAGGGAACCCAAAGTTCTGCACATCCAATCGATGTTACAGTTGATCTAACAGGACACACTACCTCCCTTAAATTGATTTCTATTGTGATGATAAATGTGTAACCATAATAAAATTTGGACTGTTACACATGGATCTCCTGTAAGCACAGTTGCTTACAGGAGTTGCAGGCACAGTAGGAGTTGCAGACAAAAATGCTTGCATGTCTATAAGTCTCATGGTAACAGTTTAAATTTTTTTTTTAAATGTAGGGAGACTTATGGGTTTTCTAACTGACAAAGCCACAGAGCTGCAACAGCAAAGGTTCAATCTTCCAACAATTATTTCTCTGCAGTGGGATAATAAAGATATTTTTTAGTTGAAGTTAGGGGGAAATCCCAGGGGAGGAGTGAGTGAAAGTTTTTATGGAATGGTGGTTTGTTGTTGGGGATTTTGCTATTTTTCTGAGATATTGGCTAGTGGGTCAATACGGTCTATGGTCTGGAGGCACGACACATTTTTCTTTCTACATCCTCTCTGAGTTTTTTTTTTTTTTTTTTTTCAAAATATTTCGTGGCTTTCAAAGGCTTTTGCACAGTTTTTCAATTAAGAGTTATAGCAGCCTAAATTCGAGGAGACTGGTGTGACTATGAACCTGCCCCCTTTGCCAAAGATCTCCTAAGCCTGCTTTGCAGACCTTTCTATATTGTTTAGCACATTAAGTCAGGGGAAAAACCTAACAGATAATCTTGTCTAGAGGAAGATGAGGGACACGAGAATCAACAAGCAAAAAAGGAGAGGAATGCTCCTAGAGCTACCCAACACCTCAGCAGAGCCAAAGCCAATTTCCTCCATTCTACGCTACATTACTGAAGTAATACATGCAAACACCACAAAAATGTNTAATGTTTTGGGAAGAGAAACGTTTTATTTCGCTGGGTCTAGCAAACCTGCCGGACTACTTTCGGCTTGACCAAAGCTGGACGAGAACTCTGCTCACAGGACGCTGCCAGGGGTAAGTCAGTGTGATTGCATGACACTGGTGATGGGGATGCCATACAGATTCATGTCAAAAATACCGAACTATCCCTTTAACCAATTGTCCTTACAAATGTTTCCTTTGTAATACCATCATTTTCTAAATAATGGAATATTGGGTTTCTATTAAGTATACACATCAGTATTAATTTAAATATATTATTTAAAATATATCAATATTAGAGTAAAATCTATATGAAAATATTTTTTTATATATTTATTAAAACCAATCCAAACCAATCTTATCTATTGATAAGCCTCTGTAGTGTTACCTCTGTCCTGAGGGCAGCATCGTCATCTGAGTCATCATAAATGTATCTCTGTAGATTTAAAACCAACATGATTAGTCACATTCATATTGAAACACATTTGGAGGCTTTGCTAAAGGCTTTCGGAAACAAATCTGTTGTAAACATTCGAGGCACATAACACTTACCGTGGGGCCAGGGGGCCCTGGGGGGCCCTAAGGAAGAAGGAAAAGCAAAACAAAATTAATTAGAGGTAAAAAAAAAAGATCAAATTAGGTCAGTTTCTGTTTAAGTCTATTGTTTTATGCTATCTTTTCTATGTATTGGCACTACCAGAAGACACTGACTTAGAAAAATAACACACTAGATACACTAGATCTTTGAAAATAAAACTTCCTTTTTTAATGGACATTAACACACAGGCTGAAATCTTTTGTTACATTTACTTTGCAATGTTTGTTTGGTCGATATGCAATATTAAAGTTAACGCTTACCTGTGGTCCTGGACTTCCATGCGGTCCTTGAGGACCCTAAAAATGGACCATAAAATACAAAGTTTTTAAAAACAATAATTTTCATCAATGCACTAGAAAAACGATCTAGAAATAAGTAAAAATGTCTTAAATTAAGTGTTTTTACCCTTCATCTGAGTAGGTAAATGAGATAGTGTGGCAATGGAATGAGTATTTTTACTCTTAAAATAAGATAATTAGATCATATGCGCTTGAAATAAGACTATGCAATAGGGTTTTCTTATTTAAAGCGTGAATTGTCTTGCTCCAATGGCAAAATTTTTATTTTAACTCCTCAATCTAACAACAAATGCACTTATTTTAAGAAGAAATGTCATCTAGATTTAGATTTTTTCCAGTGTGCCAAATTGACTTCAAGCTTTCAGTTAGGTTTTGGAGCGTTTCTTTTTGGAATATGGACTAATGCAAAACATAATTCCACAAGCAAGAGCTGGGTACATAGTTTTAGATTCAGTCCAGATTTCAGACAGGCCTCCACTATAAGCTTCAATGTTGGTATGACTAGAGCCTGTTTTTGTTTATCTCTGAACCAGTTTTGATAAGTAATAATAATAATAACAATACACTTTATTTAGAAACACATCTCCAAAAACACAAGGTCACTTTAAAAATGAGGTAAAAACCACAACAAAAAAGCAAAACATCATCAATAAATGTTTAAAATCACAAAAAACAAACAGAGTTGAAAATGAGTTTTTCGAATTTGGATTGAAACAAATATAGAGTCAATATTATGGATGTCCAATGAGAGACAAAATGAGAGAAAGCTCTACTCCTAAAGGTACTGAGGCAGAATTTGAGAAAAAACTGAATAACTTGAGTTGGCCAGAGTGACTGTGACCTCTAAGGTACGAATAAAACCACTCTAAGGGTTTATGAGAGATGCAAATGTTTGATAATCTGTTTGTTTTGATTTTATGTGTCCTCAGAGGGCAACTGGACACACTGCAATGTCCAAAAAAAAGTCTTTCTCTGCGCTTTGGACTCTGATAGCGGACCACTTTGGAACAGCAGATTGAGAAGTTTAAATTCAGGGACATATTCACCCCTAGATTGAATTCTACATCAGGGATCCATGCAGGTCTGATCAGGTAAGTTTTATATCAGTTTTAGAAATGGATCCGCCCCTTTAAAGCTGCATAGTTTAAATCTTAAGAGGGCAGCCCCCAAAGAGCATTGGTTCACACTACATTGCTGTACACTGATCTGTAAATAATTTAATATAACTCAAATGACATTTATACTTTGGTCAAGGGTAATACAGTGTTATTTGAACAACACTTTACCAAGTATAGTGAATGATGTATAAATATATAGCATGGTGGTACCATTATACAAAGGGTCTATGGCTACCAGTGCTAGAAGTATGTGGTTAAAGTATGTGGAATACTAAGAAAATAAAGGACAAGCAATTTCCTAAGTAATGTGTATTTAAGAGACTCTGAGGTTTATGTAGTAAGAGCTACAATTCTAGCTAGTGTACTTTATAAAAGCCATAGGAACTACCACTATCTCTACTTTTATCTGTCTTCAAATTACAAATATATACAAACTGACACAATCTCATTATACTCACCATTTCTCCACTGTTTCCTTTTGGACCCCTTGGGCCCTAAAGCAGCACAAACAAGATAGCTCAATAACACACCTTTCAAAATACACAATGCTTAACATGTGTAGCAATGACTTTATGGAAGTTAAAACATACAGGTTTGCCGAATGGACCAATCATTCCCTCAGGGCCTACAGGTCCAGCAAATCCCTGAAAGATGGAAAGAGAAAATGTACATAAACACTAACAGATATTGGGGCAACATAAGTTTTTCCTGAAACTGTTTATTTTCCGTTTCAACCCCTGCTTTGTCTGTCTTGGTTGTTGTGTCCTTGGGCAAGACACTTCCTTTGCTTTGAATGCTGGTGATGGTCAGTGGTGCAGTTTGTGCAGCGGCTTCTGCCAATTTTAAGACTCAGACAGTCTTACACAGTAAAATAAGCATGTTACTGTGGGCCATCAGAGCTGCTATGTCTACTCTCTCTTTTGATACGTCTAATTGAAAATTAGATTGTGACAATTTTCTGTGCAGTTCCAGGTTACTGTCTGCAAACCAAAACCACAAAACAAGCTGTGCTCCTTCATAACTTTAGCTATAAATGTCATTGTTTAATTGCATATTACATTACGCAAATCAAATAATAAAACAATATTTTGTTGAAATAGTTGGCTGACAGTAAATCCTGAAAAATAAACAAGAAGCAGAGGTTGCATTGGGTGACAACAATACTTTAACCTCTTAAAACCCACCAGGTCGCCGGCGACCCAAAGTGGGGGTAATAATTCAGAATGCATAACATTCCACCGGTAAGATTTTTACCCACAGGTGGAGCCATTGAGCGCAGTTCCAAGCTGACACCAAAGGTTCCAAACCCCACAGCTCTTGAACTGTTACAGCTACAGGTCTGAAATTTTTTGCATTTGTGATTGACATGGTGTCGAACAAATATAATACAATAAAACCTGCCTTTTCTCAAGAATGTCTTTATTAGTGCTGTTCAAAAAAGACCTATCATTTCTGAGAGAAAAAAAAAAATGTTGATGTCATGTTTGAACCAATGCAGGTTGGTCTGTGTTCTAGTCACCCAATTTTAATTTATATATTCAGAAACTAGAGGGTATTAGCTTTCAAATAATGTATTGCACATGTAATTTGGCGAGGATTACCCAAAATGAGGTGGATGTTAAGAGGTTAACAAAATATATCCGATTTTTTTTTAGTTCAGTAGGGGTATGATGACAGTGATCATTTAAAACTACATTTAAAAAAGCAGCCCTACTTATTTCACAAACAAGTATTGATATTGTATCAAATTAACAGAAGACTCAAAATTCATATATTATTATAACTTACCAAGGAACCCGCAGGACCTTTAGGGCCAGGGATGCCTCTCATTCCCAAGTCACCGTCAGGGCCCTGTTTACAGAAAAAATACATAAAACATAAATTTTTTTCTAACTTTATTTTTCATAATATGCTTTTATCGCACAACTGAAATGTTTCTTACTTTGAGTCCAGGAAAGCCGTGTAAACCAATCATTCCCAAATCTCCAGACTCTCCCTAGAGATACAGTGTTGTTATTATGACTTCAAACATGAATATGAAAGAAGCAAGAACATGGATAATGTTTATGACTTTGTGTCTTTTTGTTTATTCTTCAACGTGTTTCTCACATACAATATCTTGCAAATAGCAGTAGTCTTCATGTCTTTTGCGACTGGGTCAGAATGATGAAACACAAACTCACACAGGATTCAAGACACATTCTTTCAGGAGGAATGTCTGCGTCTTTTTCTGTGTCTGAGGACTGTCTGCTTTCCAGGTGTTTTAACCGGTATGTTTGTACAGAGACTATTTCACATCCTTTGGACAGCTCCATTTCCAAACCAGCACTGTTGGCTGGGAAACTACATTCACTAAGAGGTGGTAAGGAATCTAGCCCAGGGGCACAGGTCTTCCCTCTGTTTCAGAAATGTTACTGGAGATAGCGATTCAAAAGAGTGGTGTTAGGGACAGAATATTATTTCTTCTCTCTCCCCCTTTTAAGGAAAGGTTACATAATTAAAGCACCTCTTTTTTTTTTTAAGCACGTTGGAGCAGGAAGCTCTTACATAACTTTCCAGATGGAATGTTTCCATTTCAGGTCTGGTCCTAATTATTTGTTGCTGTACCCAGGCTGGAAACACATCAGGCACAGATATTTTACCCAAATGAATATCAGTTACATATACCCTGAAGCTATTTTTGGAGAGAAGTTGAAAGAGAGAAACATTCTTATAATCCAGCTCAACAAGAACATTCCACGGATGGTATCATTTTGACCTAATGAATGTGGTATGTTTGGTGGATTTTGCTGTTAAAATTATTATGCAGATCACATTTCTTCTGTTCTTTATTTTTGTGAGCTTGGGATTTGTTTTTGATTTGTATTTTCTCCCTGTAGGGATGTGAACCTAAAACTGTAACACATTTTCAACTTTCAGGAAGAAATTATTAATCTACATAAAGTATTTTAGTTGACTTGGTTCTTTCCTTTTGTTTTGCTTGGTTTTACCTCCTAAAACTGACTTAAAGGTACAGTGTGAAACAATTACAGGGATTTACTGACAGAAATCCATATCCATATGCATGTTTAGTTTTATTACTCTTGAATTAGAATGGCTATCTATAATTACATAGGGGTCGATTCCCATTTGTGGAGGCAGACATCTTTGCGCTACGGCAGCACATAACTGACAAAGTAGTAGAAGCTATGCTTCCCTCTGTAACTAAGAAACCACAGAAGTTGAGGTGGCAGCTTACTACAGCTAGCTCAGGGAGAAAGATTCTTTTTTTTAAAAGACCCACCCTCTTCACTACATGCAAAACCCTGTACCTGCTCCAGAGAGGGAACGCCTATTAAAGGCGTGTGAGAGCATGCACAAGTTCATCTCTCCTCATGCACACTCTGTTGAAAAGTTGCTGTTCTCATAGCTGATACAAGCTTACTGTGCCTCGAACGTCCGTTCCAACCCCTAAATCCCTCAATCACTATATAGAGTGGGGACTATATAATGAACTTTATAGTGAACTCAGATAACTGACTGTTCAGACAGATGATCACTGCATTTTACTCCCCGCTGGTAACACAACTTCTTCTCCACTGCACGGTGCCTGCTCCATCTTTGTTATTAGTTGCTATGGCGACAGTGGGACAGCACAAAGCATTCCGGGATATATCTACCTCTTCTGAGGCCTTTCTCTTCTTCTCATACACTTTGTAGATACTTTTTCTCTCACAA